AAAAAAAAAAAAAAAGAAAGAAAGAAAGAAAGAAAGAAAGGAAAAAGAAAACTTCAGTAAAACCAGACCTTTTCATAATCAATTCTTTAAAAGCTGGTCTCTTATGTCAAAACATAGATATGATAACTTTCTACATATTATGGTTTGAATGAAGCATTATAGAAGTTTGGGGAAACTGCCCACACAGTCAGCCTATGTTTAAAGCTAAGCTAGTTTGGAGCTTTCTGTGGCTGGGTCTTCCATGGACACTCAGTAGTAAGTGTTTTCAATTATGGCTAAAGTTGAGAGGTGAATGTAGGGTGGAATTACTTAAAGACATGGGCTTACACTGAGTTCTAGTGTAGTTGTTTCTGGTCTTTTAGACATGAGAGCTAGAGCTTTTCAGATTAAAAGAGAGCTTAGTGGTGGATTTACCATGAGTATCACTGAGTTTATTATAAGAAGAAAAAGAAGAGATTTTTCCTGATCTACAGAGGAAAAGACTAAAATAAATAAAATACATCTTCAAGAAAAAATATACTCAAAGGAAAGACTGTGACCATGGAGATTATAGATTCGTTTTAGAGATTTTTTTTGTTCTTAAATTATGAAATACTGTACAAAACACAAAGAACGTAAACATTTGTGTATATTTTAATAAAAATAATTTCACAGTATCTGAAACAATATGAACTACATTATGAAATATATACAAGTACCATAGAATTTTTCCTTCATTACAACCTGAAGTTACTATGTCCTCTTTGATGATGGTGTTAGGTGAAGGCAGGATGATCACTAAACAGTTTCATTTCCCCAGAGTGACTTACCTTGTCATCCATGACTGCAAGGCTCCTTTCCAGTCCCTTGTGACTGTGAAACAGGGCCTCAGAGCTAACAAGGTCTTTGCCATAGTCTTCAGAGATGAGAAGAGGCTCCTTCTCTTTGATCCACTGGATGGCTTCCGTCACATCCCTACCAGACATTAATGTAGGCTCTGACCAAATGAACGTAATATTGCAAGGCAACAGAAAAACAGGCTAAGCAGCGTGGATCAACATAGTCCACTCAGATAGCCAATTTCCTGCCTTCCCACAGACCAGCAAAGGTAACCTTTAAAGTTCCTACTTATAAAGTTCATAAAGTTATAATATTGAAATATTAGGGATCATAGTCTCTTGGTGGTTGAGCTCCCATGGATGCTTCTTATATAAAAGTCAACTATTCATGGATACATTTTTCCCCAAACTCATCCTCAACTATGTTTGTCTTACTTTTCTCTCCTCTGCAGAACTTCTATCCCTAATACATTAGTGCTAATTTTTCTATTGCTTTGGAACCCAACTTCCCATAATTGGTTACTGAGGGGATCTCAATTGTCTTAACTTCCTTGCTGCTGCAAAGGTTAATGCATGATGCACTTTGAAGTACTGGCAATGAATTGCAAGCAGGAGTAGATAGGGATTGTTAGAGTTTAGAGTTACAATGGCCCCAAAGCCTTATGTGTTTATAATGTGATTGCTTCACAGGGATGCTATACTCAGTGGCTCTATCCAGCATCCACAGGTGCTATTTCAACTATTTCAAGGTGGGACCAGAAGAGCTAGGTCACTAAAGATGTCCTAGAATTGTTTATCCCCCTCCCCTGCTCCTCCTCATGCTCCATGCTTCCCTGGCTGCTGTGATATAAGGAGTTTTCCACCGCCACATGCTTCTTCCATATTGTGTCTTCCTTCAAATGAACTGACCATTGTTTGTAACCATCAGAAAAATAAACTTCTTCTTTAAGTTGCAGGGGTCAGGTACTTTGTCCCAGTGAAAAGATAGGTGACTAAGACAGAGCCAATACAAGTAAACATGATGTCATCTGAGGGTGGACAGGTTATACCTTTTGAATCTCTGGAGATCTGCAGCACCGGACAAAGTTTCCCTTCTCTGGGAAGCCAGGTTAGAGAGATCCTTCCAAGCAGCATTGACCTCATCCTGCTCTAGCTTTATCACGAGCAGCTCTGGATGGTTCTCCTGGAGAAAGGTATCAACAATGAACTTGTGCAGAGATGAAGTTACATCAAAGAACATTTCCCCACTTTACAGGGTTTATATTTGGTCAGAAGCACAGAGTGGACACTGTAACAAGACTGCCTTTCACCATAGCCCTGTTCTTAGTTTACCTGATCCACTTAATCAGAACTTGGAACACAGATCTGTCAGATTTTGTACTCTGTGCCCTTGATGCCAAGGGTCACACCTGCTAACATAGGTTTCTTTTACATATTAGAATCATTTTCCTAATACGTAAAAGACCTAAATCTTTGTCTGCTCAGAGTTCAAATTTTATAAGTATGTCTTTAAGTAAATGAGGTAAATCTGCCTCTTCCCCTTCAACACCCTAAGATAATAATGTATAATAATATTATGGGTGCATAGCTAGGCACATAGATGAAGAAACATTGTTTTATATTATCCACTACTTTATTCTTGTTTCATTTCACAAAAACAAAATATATCCCTAAATGTGAATAACCAGTCTACTGCATTGTACAGAAGTTAGCTTCTGATAAATTCCTCTCTTCCCCCCTCACACAAGTACAAGCACACACACACACACACACACACACACACACACACACACACACTTCTATTCCCATAGACTGACAAAAGATGGCTGTAATGGGAAGATGAAACTTCCCAGAGTAGGTGGTACCAGAACATGCATCCTGCTGTTCTCTCACAGCATCTCACTTCCCTCATAGCCCGCCAGCTACTGGGCAAAGAACCCTTTTCCTGGAATGACTTTCATACCATCTCACCTCAGCACACTCATTGGCATATTTGTTCACTTCATCCACTCTCCTCTTTCGAGCTGACAGTTCCTCCTGAAACTCTTCAAACTTCTTATGCAAAAATTCTGTGCGCTCCCAGGCCTCACCCAGCTCTGTAGATGTCACAATAGATTTCTGTAGACAAAAAATAATTTGCTGACTCACAACAAACACTGAGGAGTTCTAACAGATCAAAAGTCCAAGACCCAAGCTTGCAATCTGGTTATAACTTAGAAATACTGGGAACTCTCTCATGTTCTGGTAGATGAAGAAGCAGTTCATCCTGGTTCTACTTTACTACTCTTTTAAATATACCATTACTAAATAAATAAACCTTTATGTCTGTAAACACTGAAGGATAAGAGATTTGGGGAAATGCTGGAAATATTTTCAGCCAGGCTCTCAAACTGAGCAGAAACCTGGGAGAAGGAGTTAAAGATCATAAAAGTGCAAAGAGGATGATGAACCTAGATGATATTCTAAGGCAAGATCTTTGTGTCGGTCTTGTCTTCTCCATATTTAGAACCACAAATTTATACTTATCCCCTACGATTTCCTCCCCTTAATGTTATTGCTTATTTGCCAAAAATTCCTCTTGTTCCAGGGAATGATGTCCACAAACAGACATTGTGGCTTCTTTGTGAATAGCTTGCAATGAATTCCTGTGGAGTCGCTGGGCCAGGGGGAAGGGTGCTGTCTGTGTCCTGTCCTATACCTTCTCTTCAATCCATTCCAAGATATCACCACACTCCAGGAAGTACTGATAGAACTTCAGGTTCTGCCATAGCCAGTCACTCTTCTCCTTGGTCAGCTCCAGCAGCAGGTCCCACAGTCTGCGTAGTTCTTCCAGATGGGTCTTTAGGGAAGAAAGAAGGAGTACTGAGGCTATGCAGAAGGTACAGACCCAGAGACTTGTGCAGAAAATGTAGGTCAGTGGTAGAATGCTTGCCTAGCATGCACAAGGCCTTGACTTAAATCTCCAGTAAAACACACACACACACACACACACACACACACACACACACACAGAGCAACATCTAGGTTAAAAACTCTTCCTTCCATCATTTATGAATAACTTAAAAATTGCATATGTATGCAATTGTTTGTTCCACTGGAAAATATATTCCATTAGATAAATGTTTGTTAAAACACTTTGGGTTCTGAGAGAATAGATCAACTATAAGCAATAATGTGGATAAAAGGAAAAATGCATGAAAGACTGCAAATACAAACAGGATCTTAAGGAACAGGAAGACAGCCAGATATCAGGCAGTGAGTATTCTAAGTGCAAAAGCAACCATGGTAACAGAAAGCATAAAAGCTAAATTTTGTTGATTTATTAGAAAACTGTGGCACCAAGAGAGTAAGAATATTTGGGGAGTATATGACTCAAGACTGTATGTGGGGTTTTGGATACCAGATTAGCTCAGAACATCACTTATTACATATCTTTTTTTTTCTGTATTTAGGGGAGGGTCTATAGGGTATACAGGGTCTCACTATCGTACTTGCAGTGATCCTCCTGTTTTCAGCCTCCCAAGTGCTAGGGTTACAGGCACTCTACCATGCCCAGTCTCAATCGCCATCTAGAGTGCCCTATGGGGAAGGGGTGGGGGAGCGACAGGCAGGCTGGAGATCAAACCCTGGCCACTGCACTCTGCCCAAGTAGGTGCTTTAGTTTGCTGAGCTATCAGGCCAATCCTATTATATAGCTTATGAAAGTAAAGTTACCAACTGTATTGTGTCTTCAAGAATATTAGGTTTTTCAACTACTGTGTTTTTCAAGCTAGCATTTGTACCACATTTCTCTCTGAACCTTGATATGATTCTGTCCAATACAGTCCTAGTGAACCTCACAGACAGGAGATGTTTTAAAAATTCTCAATTTTACTTAATGTATGATATTAATTATATGTAAAACTAAATAATACAATTTTTAATATTCCACATAAGCAAATAAATTTGAAGAGTTTTATTATTTTTTTTCTTAAAAAGTATTTTCTGGTTAAAGCCTCTGTTGCTTGGATATACTTTGCTGACAGGAGGATAGGAAATAATGTTCATGCTAAATAAAAAAAAAATACAAGTCCAAATTGTGAAAAAGTAATGGAAATCTGTTGGACAACATAAAAAATATGAGATGTACAGAGTTCAGTCAGATAAAGCATCATGAATTCACTGTGCACATTCACTGAATATATTTGAAAGACTGAATAAGCTACGTAAGAAATAGATTATATACTAATATTGTGTAGAAGAGTAATAAATGATATCAAATGGTGGATGTTGGTAGAATTCACCATTCAAAGGAGATTATCTGAAAACAGGAAATATTAAGGATTACTTGAAAAAAGTGGGAAAGAATATTCAGGATAGAAAGAGAGTTAAAGGCTATAGTATATGAAAAGAAAAAGACTTCACAAAACAAAGAAAAATTCAGAAAGACTCAAATGGGAGAACACAAAATATTTGAGGAGACAGATATATGGACAATGAAGTAAAAAGAAATAGGCAAAAAGCGTGTAGTAAAGCTGATACAACTAAGAAATAGAAATCAGATTGAAGTGAACTTCTTCTTAAGCCAAACTGCAGCAGATGGCAGAAGGAAAAGTGGAATACCATCTGGTGACATGTTCCACATTCTGATTCTTCTTTCGCATCCCCACTAAACACAGTGAGATCCTATACTTTCTCTGCCTCCACTGTCAGCACAACACAAGGCAGAAATACTTATTCTAAGTGCATTATGTCAGCCCTGATAATTGGCATAATCAGTTGAAGCTTTCAGATTATAATCAACAAATAGAAATTCCTCTTTGAGATACTTATTCTTCAGTCACCTTAGTATCTTCATGGGCAAAATGATCTTCATTTAATCGGGCTTCCCTGGTCTCTTCCAGTTCAAGAAGGTCACTTTCTTTGGCTTGTATTTCCTCTTCAAAAGCTTTATGCTTCTGATGTTTTCCCTGAAGTTTAGAAATCATAAATTATGAGGATGAAAGACTGTGGCTGGGACATAAAGTAGACTGCACAGTCTATCACTAACTTTTAGACAGAAATTAATGCAAATTATTCCATACTGTAATCAAAATAAATTAAAATCTGATTAAATCAAATCAAATTCAGGAAAAGGAAATCATCAGAATACCACATAGACTTCTATTATATGTTTACCTTAATATCCTGATAGATCAACCTGTACTGAACAACAATGGTGTTTCTCTGCTCTACCCTTCTTTCATCAAGTGTCCGTTCCTTGAAGTGCATAGTTTCCTGAAGTACAGAAAAACAGAGACTGATAATGAATCCTAAAGTTTCCTCTCCATACAATGGAAGCTGTTTTTACTTGTTTGTGTGAACAGAACTACTTACTCACAATAGTGGATTAAATAAATATTAAATGATATCATTGTAAAGATGCTTATGTAGGTATGTACAAGTGCCAAAGATAATTTCCATGCCTGTTGCATTACTGGTTTATCACATCTCTTCTTATGATACTCAAAAGCAATATTTATAAAAAAATGAAACTTAAATCCCATGTCCATTGTTTCAATTCAACAAGAATTGAATGTTCCTGCTCATGTTTCTACTTTTGTACTCCGTATATTTTTCCACTCTGCTGGCATAAAAGTTACAGCATAATAATTTCTGCCTGAAGCCTGTAGAAAACTAAATCCAGAACAACAATTACTAATCTGAAGATAATGAAGAAGATATAATATGTACACAATTATATTTTCAAAAAAATAAAAATTCCACCCATAAACTGGAATTATCAATCTGGTTTTGAAATAGAAGACTCATCAGTTCTTGATATGGTGTGCTTCCTTTGGCAGAGGAATGGTCCATGCTGTGAAACAAAAGAGAACTAGTGCATAATGAAGCATGATGTCTCCCTACCATTACAGGGACACTGTTTTTCTCTTGTTGGTCAAAAGCATAACTATGTGAACACAGGATAGACTATCACTATTTATCCCTGAAGCAAACCACTGTGGCATAACCAGATGTAAAATAGATATAAAAGATACACCAAAGTCTCAGGATGATTTCTGAATAAGGAAGCAACCTCCTATGCCAGAATTAATTCAATGTTTCCCAGAAAAGAAACAATGTAGAGAGCATCCCATTGTTGATGATCTGTATGCCATGTTTTGCAGCTCATATATATGAAATTGTAGTCCTTGAAATAAAAATTTAGTGAAATCACCAATTGAGTACCTTGTCTCTTGCTAGAATTATTTTTCAAGTGTGTTTTTATGTTCCTTGAGCTTAGCACAAGACAGTTCCAGGGTAATGAAGACTTTTGATACCACACCGTTCTGTTGACAATGGTTCAGCCTTTACTAGGTGATGGAACAAAATATATTTAAAGTAGAGCCAAAAAAACTAAAGACAAAGATTTCTACCCAGATGTATGCAGAAAAGAATTAGAGTTCATGGTTATATGGTAATCTCCAGTGTACTTTTATTTCACTAGTGTACTTTTATTTCACACTAGTGTAATACAAGTGATCCCAGCACGAATTCCTTCAGAAGCCTGTAGAAAACTAAAGTCAGAGTATCACTTAATAAGCCATGGAGTGTAATGTATGTCTAGGGTGCAAGTGACTGAACCTGTGGAAAGCATAATAACTATACTCCTAAACTGGAATAATCTGTCTCATGTTGAAATTCATGACTCACCTGTATCAGAATCCATCCTTTGGACGATAAATATAATATCTAATGAGGCCTGAAATATTTGGATCATTATGTGGATTCTCATTTCCTGAAGTTCATTGCAAGCAGGACAGGTTATCTTCAGACTAGATCACCAGCATAAAACCTGACATAATCTCCAGTGTCATAAGGAGACATCCAGAAGAAACCAAAGATATAGATATGTCCCACTATGACTTAAAAGTCAAGAAACCTACAGACTTAGGCATAATTATTTCTGCATCTCCCAGATATGACAGCATATGGAGGATCCTACTGTGTATATATGAAGACAAGGGATGCATCTGGGGTGAGGAACTTTAAATATGGAAAGCAAACTTAAGCAAAAGCACATCTTGAAGCCATGTCTAATGTTTGAATTCATGACTGCCCACTCTTCCTGTTGTTAGATTTCCCCTTGTGCTCTTATAAGGTGCTTCAGTTTAGCCAAAAAGACTTTCTCCCTAATGAAGACTGTAGAATCCAGACCATAGTGTTCCTTTGACTTATTCATGCTCCTAGAAAGCAGAACTACTGGTTCCTTAAATTAGAGTAAAAAAAATGTTTACACAGAGAGTTCATTGTCGACACAAGTTTGCATGAACATTTATCATGGCCAAATAGTATTCTTCATTATATTTTCACATTCTAGAGACAGGAAATCAAAACCACAATAGTTTCTGCCTGAAGCCTGTAGAAATCTCCAGGCAGAATGCTCCTTACAAAAGTCTTAATTGCAAGATGGCTATATTTAATAAACAACTGTATTTGTGTAGAGTATAGTAATTCAATCAATCCCCTGGACTTATCTGTCTGATTTTGAAACTCAAGATTCACCTGTCCTTCATCTGGTGTATTTTGTGGACCAGTTGAGGATAAGTCTTGTGTACAGAGAGACACAGGAAATGCTTAACAAAGACTAACAGCTATAACATCATAAGGATTTCTTTTGCCACTAGTTGCTTGCAAGGAAAACTAGGTCTTTTCAGGCTGAGCTATCAAATTTTATCCCTGAACTAATTTACTGTAGCATAAGCAGCCATAAAGCAGATGAAAAATGTATATCTAGGTGTTAATATAGTTTCCAAACCAAGGAAACCACAGGTATGGTGCAAAGGCATCTTGAAGGAAATACACGGTAGACCGTAACCTACAGTTTGTGTTCAATATGGCAAGTGTGGCATCTGATGTAAGCAAACCACTGCATAAAAGTACAACTCAGTAAATCACAACTTGAATGCCAAGTCTACTGCTTGAATTGATGGAAGATTCTACTGCCTACTGTTGGTGTTTTCCCTGTGATCTTATATTCCTTCAGGTTAGCAAAAGAGATATCCTGAAGAAATAAGTCTATTCTCAATGGATCAAACAGTTGTTCTTTTTTCTAACACCACTTCCTTGCAAGCTGAGCAAATAGAGGTGAAGATTGGAATCAAGTAATCTATGAAAACTTGTTCTACCCTGGTAGAAGCACACCTCAATAAATGTTCAAAGATATGCTGTGCGTTTAGTACATGCGCCACACCAGTAAAATAAATGTTAACCATAAATTCCTCTTTGAAATGCCCTTAGAAAACCACTTACTAAGAATATCACTTACTAAGCTATGGACTTCAAGGTTAGTAAATGAAGTAAACACCTAAATTTCTTGTAAACTAAATAATAGCAATCTCAAGCTGTAGTATCTTGTTTTGTGACCTCAGGACTCACCTGTCCTCATCCAGTGAATTTTCTGCACCACTGGAAGATACATTCTGTGTACAAAAGGAGAGCAAATGCCTAAGGAACTGATATGGATCTAACATTACACAGACTTTGAATTCTACACTCCCTTGCAAGGAAAAACTGTGATCTTCAGGCTACCCTATCATCAAGAACACCTGAAGAATTCTACCAACCCTGAGCATACATACAGAAGAAAAAAAGCTACATTTATGTCTCACTATGGTTGTGTAGTCAGGGAATAAACAGCCCAAGGAATAAGTCCCAGTGCATTATCCAACAAAATACACTGCACAGAAAATCAAAAGGTTTATCTCATTTGGGCAAAGATTCTCTAGGACTTAAGAAAGTACAATAGTTTGAGAATATATCTATTAGAAATGGAACTTGAATCAAATATTTCTGAGTAGAATTCAAGTAGAACTCCAACTATATTGTTGGTTTTACCCTTGGAAAGTATGTACATTTAACTTTAAAAATTAGAGAATATGCAAACTTCATATTACTGAATCCAGACCACGCAGATTTCTTCAGTTCTGTCTTTTCTAAGCTGGAATTGTCTGTCTCATTGTGAAATTCATCATTCAACTCTACTTGATCTGCTATGTTTTCTGGCCCAAGTAAGGATCCATCCTAAGTACAATAAGTATAACGTGTAACGAGGCTTAAACATTCTGTACCTCCCAGATATGACACTGTACAGAGGATCTTATTGTGTGCATCATGAATGTAAGGGATGCATGTGGAGATAGCAACATTAAACCTGGAAAGCAAATTTAAGAAAATCACATCATGAAAATGATGTCTAATACTGTAATTCATCACTGCCCACACTTCCAGTTGCTGGATTTCCCCTTGTTCACTCATAAGGTGCTTCAGTTTAGCCAAACAGAGTTTCTACGTAATGAAGACAATTGAATGCAGACCATAGCGTTGGAATTGATCACTGATGTTCCTAGAAAGCAGTATTACTAGATCCTCAAAGTAGAGAATAATAAAAACAGTGTAGACAAAGAGTTCGTCCTCAACACAAGCATGCCTAAATGTTTATCGTGGCCTAATTTTATTCCTCATTGTAGTTTCACCTTCTAGAGCCATAAAAGCAAAAGCACAATGGCTTGTTCTGGAACCTTGTGGATGTCTTGAGGCACAATGCTCCTTATTCAGGTCTTGATTGCAATTTGGGGATGTTTCATAAACTACTATTGTTTTTAGAGCACAAGAATCTGACCAATGCATTGGAATTATCAGTCTGATTTAGAAACTCAGGACTCACCTGTCCTTCATCTGGTGCACGTTTTGGACTGGGTGAAGATCCGTCCTGTGTGCAAAGACACAGTTAATGATTAATGAAGACTAATATCTCTGCAATATAGCATGGACATTGTTTGCCACATTTTACTTGCAGGAGCACTAGGTCTTCTTCAGGCTGAGTTATCACATTCTATTCATTAACTACTTTACTGTACCATAAGCAGACAGAAAGCAGATGCCAAATGTATATCTACGTGTCAAAATGATTTTCAAACCAAGAAAACCATATGGTATGGCAGAATGGTATCTCCAAGAAAAAACACTGTAGACCAGATCCTACTGTTTGTGCTCAATACAGCAAACATGGCATCTGATGTAAGAAAGCCGATGCAAAAAGCACAGTTCAGTAAATGCACAAATTGAATCACAACTACTTCCTCTATTCACGACAGATTCTGCTTCCAATTGTGGGAGTTAACTATTTTCCTTATGTTCCGTTATGATATCCTGCATAAACAACTCTATTCTCAGTGGAATACACATTTGTCCTTTATTTATATACTTCTTCATTGCAAGATGAACAAATAGAGGATCACAATGGACTCTAAAACTCTTAAGAGAACTTGTACTACTCCTGCAGAAGCACAACTCCATGAAAGTTCAAAAAAATCACATAAGGTCAAGGACAGGTGAGTGCTCAATAGCTAAATCAGACTGATAATGCCAGCACATAAATGGAGGTATTTTGATTTTGTATATAAAATTTATGGACACCACATAGCTTTCTTACAAGCTACATATAGGTAATAGGCATTGTGCCTTTGCTTTTCTAAAGGCTTCACTCAAAATTTACTGTGGTATAAGTTTTATGCCTGTAGAGTGGAAAAACATACTCTATGAAAGTATAGAAGCAAGGACACTATATAATTTGCCTTTACACAATTGTTCCTTTCAAGCTGCAACAATTAAGCTCACAATGGACTCTAAAACTCTAAGAAAACATGTCCTATTCGCGCAGAAGCACACCTCCATAAATGTTCAAAGAAATGTTCTGTGTTTAGTGCATTGGCCACTCCAGTGATAAAAAACTAATTTGCTCTGCCTCATGTCTCTAGAAAAGTGAAGCCAGAATGCCACTCACTAAGCTATGGATTGCAAGTTTCGTAAATGCGGGAAGCACCCAAAGTTCTGGTAAACTTGCAAGAGCACTCTTAAGGTGGAGTATCTGTCTGGTTGTGGAACTTCAGGACTAACCTGTCCTTCATCTGGTGTATGTTCTGTGCCACTTGGAGGTCCATCCTGTGCGCTAAAGCAGAGCAAGTGAACTGTTATGTATCTGTAACATTAAATGGACTTTGATGTCTTCTTTTCACTTGCAAGCAAAAACTCTGGTCTTCAGGCTCGCCTATCATCTAGGACACCAGAAGAATTCAACCATGCCTGAGCAGGCATCAAGAAGAAAACAAACCTATATCTATGTGTCACCATGTTTGCAACGTCAGGGAATCCACAGTGTATGGAATAACTACCACTGAATCTCTGAGAAAATACGCTGGACAGAGGATCGCATGGTTTATATCATCTCTGCAAGATTTCTGTCTGATGGAAGTAAGCATAGGATTTGGAAGAAATATTTTTTAAAAAGGAAACTTGAATCCTATGTCTCAATAGAATTCAATTAGACCTCCTATTATGTGGTTGTTTTTACCCTTGTATTCATATGTTCCTTACTGTTAAAAATATTAGCTTTTCTGCATACTCAATATCATTGGTCGCAGGCCATAAATTTGTCTTAGGTTCAGTCCTTGATAGCAAGACCAAACAGAGGTTTTCAAACTACTGTCTCTCACTATGGACTAAGATATGTATCTTGCCCTCAGAGAATTAGACATGGTTCTTGGTTGTATTCTTACATAGCGTAAGTTGTCCCACTCTATAGACAGAAAGCTTACACCATAGTAAATACTACCTGAAGCCGGTGGAAAAGTTAAGCCAGCATACTTCTTACTAATGTGTATATTGTAAGGAAGCTATATGGCATACAAACATTTATTTTAAAAATCATAATAACATCACTTATCTGCTGGCATTATCATTCTGATTTTGAAATTGACCACTCATCTGTTTTTGATCTGGTGTGCTTACTGAACTGTTGCATGGTCCTTCCTGTGTACAGAAAGACAGTTAACACCCAATGGGACAGACTGTGCTATTTGCTAGTGCCTTTGAACAATAACGCCGTGCTCTACAGGCTAGACTATTGCAATCTGTCCCTGAAGAAAGACACGGTGGAATATGGTGATATCACATAGCTAGCGAAGATATAAGAGTGCCAAGGGATGATTGTAAACAAGGAAGAAGCAGCCTAGGCCAGAATTCATTCAGTGTCTCCTTCAAATCACACTACAGAGAAGATCCCACTGTTGAAGATCTGCAAATCATGTATTGCTCCTGGTATATAAAAAATGTAGTTGTTGAAATTCAAATTTAGTAAAAACACCAAATGAATACCCTATATCTTGTTAGAACTCACTGCTGAGTGCTGAGATCTAAATTCTGTATTTTTCCCTCATCTTCCTATGTTTCTTGACTTTAGCACAGGAGAGATTCTGTGTAATGAAGACATTTCACAAAATATCATTGAGTTGACATTCTTATAGCACTTTCCTAAGAAATGGAACTACACATTTTTCAAGTGGTTCTCAACTACCTTGGAACAGTATTTCTACCAGGATATATGAAAAAATAAAAAAAATAACATTATGGATTATAATGTAATCCCCTGTTTCCCATCAAACTGTAGTGAATAAAAGTGAATCCAGCATAAATTCTTTCAGAAGCCTGTAGACAACTAAAGCCAGAATACCTCTTCTTAAACACTGGTGTGCAATGTTTGTCTAGGGTGCAAGTGAATGAACCTGTGGAAATTAAATAATTACACTCCTCAGCTGGAATTTTCTGGCTCATTTTGACATTCATGACTCAGCTCTGTTTGATCTGCTATGGTTTGTGGTCCACAGAAAGATTCATCCTAAGAACAATAAACATAAGTTCTAATGAGGATTAAGCTGTCTGCATCATTCTATGGATTCTGTTTCTCTAAAGTTCCTTGAAAGCAGAAGAGTTCAACTTCAGACTAGAAAACCTCCATCTGGTCTGAAATAGTCTCCTGTGTCCTAAGGAGATGCCCAGAGGAAACCAAAGATACAGGTATGTTCCAGTATGACAGCAAACTAAGGAACCTACAGACTTTGGCATAATGTATTCTGCAGCTCTCGGATATGACTCTGTATGGAGAATCCTAGTGACTACATCATGAATGTAAGGGATGCATGTGGAGTGAGGAACGATAAACCTGAAAGCATATTTAAGCAAATCACATCAAGAAAGCCATGTTTCATTGTGTAATTCATCACAGCCCACACTTAAACTTGTTGGCTTTCCCCTTTGTTCTCTACTAATATGCTTCAGTTTTGCCAAGCAGAGTTTCTACCTAAAAAATACAATGGAAAGCAAACCATAGCACTACCATTGGTCATTGATGTTTCCACAGAACAGTACTACAATTCGTCCAAGTTGAAAAAAAAATTAGAGAAAAAGTGATCATCCTCAAGACAAGCATGGCTGAACATTTATCCTGGCCTAATGGTATTTTTCATTGAAGGTTCACAATCTAAAGGCATGAAAGCGAGAGCACAATGGCATGTTCCAGAAATTCTGGATGTCTCGAGGCACAATGCTCTTCATTAAGGTATTTATTCAACTTGGTGATGTTTCATAAACAACGATATTTTCTTAGAACATAAGAAACTGACCGAAGCACTGGAGTTGTCTGCCTGATTCAGAAAATCGGGACTGACCTGTCCTTTTTCTAGTGCACTTTCTGGTCCACTTGAAGTTCTGTCCTGTGTTAAGAGACAGAGTTAATGCCTAATGAAGACTAATATCACTAACACGTCACATGCACATTGTTTGCTATGTTTTACTTGCAAGGAGTACTAGGGCTTCTTCAGGCTGAGCTGTCCCTTTCTATCCATGAACTAGTTTAATTTAGCGTAAGCAGACATAAAGCAGATGCCAAATTATATCTACGTGTCCATGTGATTTCCAATCCAAGGAAACCACATGGTATGGCAAACTGTTATCTCCAACAAAACATACTGTAGACCGGATTGTACTGTTGGTGTTCAATATGGTAAACTTGGCATCTCATGTAACAAAGTGACTGTGAAAAGCATATTTCAGTAAAAGCACTACTTGAATCCCATGTCTACTTCTTCTATTCATGACAGATTCTGCTTCCAATGGTTGGGTATTCCCTTTTGTACCTATATTCCTTCAGGTTAGCAAAGGAGATATCCTGCATAAAAAACTCTATTCACGATGTAACACAAAATGAACTTTTTCATACAATTGTTCCTATCAAGCTGCACCAATAGAAGCTCAGAATGGACACTAAAACTCTAAGAAACATGTCCTATTCGCGCAGAAGTACACCTCCATGAATGTTCAAAGAAATCTTCCGTGTTTAGTTCACTGGCCACTCCAGTGATTAAAACCTAATTCCCTCTGGCTCATGTCTCTGGAAAAGTGAAGCCAGAATACCACTCATTTAGTTCTGGATTGCAAGGTTGGTAAATGCGGGAAGCACCCAAATATCTGGTAAACTTGTAGGAGCACTCTTAAGGTGGAATATCTGTCTGGGTGTGGAACCTCAGGACTCACCTGCCCTTCATCTGGTGTGTGTTCTGTGCCACTTGGAGGTCCATCCTGTGTGCAAAAGCAGAGCAAGTGCTTAATGCACTGTTATGGATCTGTAACATTACATGGGCTTTGGTTTCTACATTTCACTTGCAAACAAAATCTGTGATCTGCAGGCTCGCCTATCATCAAGGACACTTGAATAAATCTACCATAGCCTGAGCAGGCAGTTCTACGTATTCAATATCTGTGGGTGTAGGCCATGCATCTGTCTTTCGTTCTGTCCTTGCTAGCAAGACTAAAAAAGGTTTTCAAGCTACTGTCTCTCAGTATGGACTAAGATTTCTACCCTGCCCCAAGGAGAATTAGACAGTGTTTTTGGTTGATTTTTATCAAAGCGTATGTTTTCCGTCTGTACAGAGAGAAAGCTTACACCATAATCACTGCTGTCGGAAGCGTTAGCAAATCTAATCCAGAATTCCTCTTACTATTGTGTAGACTGTAAGGAAGCAATAGGGTGTGCACAAATTTATTTTCAAAATCATAATAACTCCACATATCTGATGGCATCATCAGTCTGATTTTCAATATGATCATTCAACTCTCGTTGATCTGGTGTGTTTTCTGGACTGTTGGATGATCCTTCCTGTGTACAGAAAGACAGGTAACACCCAATGGCACATACTTTGCATTTTGCTTTTGCCTGTGAGGCGGAACTGTGATCTACAGGTTACATTGTCGCAATCTCTCCCTGGAGTAAGACACTGTGGCGTATGCAGACATCACAAAGATAGCAAAGCTGTATCAGTGCTTAGGATGATTTGTAAACAAGGAAGCAGCCACTTATGCCAGAATTCGGCAGTGTCTCCTACAAATCACACTGTAGAGAAGATCCCATTGTTGATGATCTGTAAGTCTTGTATTACTGCTCGTACGTAGGAAACGGTAGGCGTTGAAAAAAAATTTAGTGAAATCACCAAATAAATCTCCTATCTCTTTTTAGAACTCATTCCTGACTGCTGAGTTCTGTATTGTCTTCTTTCCCTCGTCTTCCTATGTTCCTTCAGTGTAGCACAAGACAGTTTCTGTGTAGTGAAGACTTTTGACACTGCACCATTCAGCTGAGTGTCGTACGAACATTCCTAAGTGATGGAACTAGAGATTTTTCAAGTGAAGCTGAACTAACTTGGAACAGTATTTCTACTCGGATATATGCAAAAGAAACCTAGCGTCCA